AGCAACCTTCACAATCCATGTTTAGAGGTGTCTAGGAAGCAACCTAGGAGTTCAGAGAAGCTGCCAGCCATTAAAAACTTAGTTTCCGGCCGGGCGCAGTGGCTCAAGCCTGTAATCCCAGCACTTTGGGAGGCCGAGGCGGGTGGATCACAAGGTCAAGAGATCGAGATCATCCTGGTCAACATGGTGAAACCCCGTCTCTACTAAAAATACAAAAAAAAGTAGCTGGGCATGGTGGCGCGTGCCTGTAATCCCAGCTACTCAGGAGGCTGAGGCAGGAGAATTGCCTGAACCCAGGAGGCAGAGGTTGCGGTGAGCCGAGATCGCGCCATTGCACTCCAGCCTGGGTAACAAGAGCGAAACTCCGTCTCAAAAACAAACAAAAAAAAACTTAGTTTCCAAAAATCATTTTGTATATTGGAGGGACAAAGGCCAATCACCTAATGGTTCACTTTGGACTTGGGAGTCGGTAGGTGGCAGCAGCAAGTCCCTGTTCACCTGAACTCTGCTCTATGACTAAGATCTGATTCAGCCTGTGGGTGCTTCCTGACACCCCATGAAGCTTGGGCAAGTCTAGAGGACTCTGAACCTGATTGGTCCATAAAACTGTAATATTTTATATATATAGTTTTTTTCTTTTTGAGACGGAGTCTCATTCTGTTGCCCAGGCTGGAGTGCAGTGGTATGATCTTGGCTCACTGCATCCTCCACCTCCCAGGTTCAAGCGATTCTCATACCTCAGCCTCCCAAGTAACTGGGATTACAGCCACCCGCCACCAACCCCCAGCTAATTTTTTTTGTATTTTTAGTAGAGAGGGGGTTTCACCATGTTGGCCAGGATGGTCTTCAACTCCTGATCTCAGGTGATCTGCCTGCCTCGGCCTCCCAAAGTACTGGGATTAGATTACAGATGTGAGCCACTGCACCTGGCCAGATTTGATATTTTTATTAAGATCTTTTCTGATACAGAATACAAAATTGAAAAATACAGAAAAGTAGAAAAACATACCAAATCCTACCATTTCGTTACAATCACGGTTTATGTCTTGGTATATTTCATTTATTGATTGATTTGATATAAATATTACCTAAGGCCTCCAATGCACGGTGCTAGGCTCTGGGGGGTACTGAGGTAAACTCAACACTTTGGAAAGCTTGCAGCATTTCCCTCCAGTCTTTTTCTAGATACTTCTGTACATGCAAAAATGTTTCAAGCTTTTCTAAAATTATAGGAACAGTCTAAAAAGTGTAAAATAAATCTCAAATCTTTCAGTAGTTTTGGACACCTCAGCTTTACTTGAACTAGGAATATGTTGTTCTCCTTGCTAGTCTCACTATTAGTCGTGAACTCAAAGTGGTTAAGATGAGAGATGAGTTGGGAATTAATTAGGGAAAATTATGTTCTAGGAGTGGAATATGGAGGACTGCTCCAGCTCCAACTCCATCAGCTTGCTTTCTCTTTTCTTTTTTCTTTCTTTTCTTTTTCTTTTTCTTTTCTTTCTTTTTTTTTTTTTTTTGAGATAGATTCTTGCTCTGTCACCCAGGCTGGAGTGCAGTGGCGTGATCTTGGCTCACTGCAAGCTTCACCTTCTGGGTTCGAGACCAGCCTGGCCAAGATTGCGTAATACTGACTACTAAAAATACAAAAAATTAGCCGGGTGTGGTGGTGCAGGCAGCCAAGGCCAGACTGGACCTTGTGATCTGCCCACCTCAGGCTCCCAAAGAGCTGGGATTACAGACATGAGTCACTGTGTCTGGCCAACTATGCTTTTAATACTAAATGTAATCAATATTTTATATTTTGATAAGTAGCAGGTGAGAAAGAGTATCTTCTTATTTTGATTTGTATGAATGTGAACTCTGTTGTTTTAAGGCCTCTGAGCTTACTTATTTGATGCTGCAAGCTAATTTCTTAGTTTCTGAGCCCACTTTTCTCTTTTTTCTACTTCTGTCCTTTCACTAATTATACACTGGTTTCTTCATTCTTTTGTTCTTTCCAGAAACATGTATTTATTCTCTTCTATGTGTCAGCAGTGTTAGGCATTGGGATTACACAGATAATTATTTGTAAGACATTGTCCCTTGGATCAAGGAGATCATTATAACAGAGGACACAGACATATCAAACTATTTCTTTTTATTTTATTTATTTATTTATTTTGAGATGGAGTTTTGCTCTTGTCGCCCAGGCTGGAGTGCAATGGCATGATTTCAGATCACTGCAACCTCCACCTCACAGGTTCAAGCAATTCTCCTGCCTCAGCCTCCTAAGTAGCTGGGATTACAGGCACCTGCCACCACCCCTGGCTAACTTTGTTTTTTAGTAGACACAGGGTTTTCCCATGTTGGGCAGGTTGGACTCGAACTCCCAACCCTAGGTGATCCACCCACCTTGGCCTCCCAAAGGTGGGTGGATCACCTGAGGTTAGTGAGCCACCACGCCCAGCCATTATCAAATTATTTCTATTCCTTCTTCAGTGAATTGCCTGTTCCCATCTTTTGCCTATTTTCTATCTTATTGATATGAACACTAGAAGAAAGTTCCTATGTTGAGAAAATTATTCTTTTTAGGCCAAACTTAAAACGTTTTTAGACAGTCAAATTTATTACCTTTTTGGCTTCTCAGTTTTATGTCTTATTTTAAAAAACCTTTCTCACTTCAAAATTATTTCACGAAATAACTTGATAATTTCTTCTAGTATTTTCTCGGATCCTTTTTTACATTTAAGACTCTAGGCCAGTGCAGTGGTGCACACCTGTAATCTCAGCTATTTGGGAGGCTAAGGTGCGAGGAGAGCTTGAGCCCAAAAGTTTGAGGCTATGGAGAACTACAATCATGAGCTTTGATCATGCTACTGCACTCTAGCCTGGGCAACAGAGGGAGGCCTTGTTTCTAAAAGAAAGAAAAAGAGCGAGAGTGAGAGTAAGCGAGGGATTGAGAGAGAAAGAAGGAAAGAGAGAGAGAAAGGAAGGAAGGAAAGAGAGTGAGAAAAGAAAGAAAAAGAAGAGAAAAAATAAAGAGAGAAAGGAAGGAAGGAAGGAAGGAGAGAGGAGGGAAGAAAGGAAGGGAGGGAGGAAGAAAGGGAAGAAGGGAGGATTCTGGTCTATCTGGAAATTATTTTAGAGTAAAAATTAGTTCTCATATTTTTATCTTTTTTTTTTTTAATTTTTATTTTCCAACCTTGACTCTTCAATCAGTGATCCAGCTTCTGAGGAGTTCCAGAACAATCCAGATTTCCCAGGTCCTTGGGAACATGACTGAACCTGGCTTATTGACATGTTGCTGGTTGTGACTTCAAACCCCTAAGCCTCTCCTGCCCTCTGAGCTTTTGGTCCAGAGCCCAAGAGGAGCCTGAGCATCATTCTCACTGGAGCACGTGGGCTTCCGGTGGCCTCCCACAGAGACCTGGATCCTCATTTGACTCCGAGTCTCAGGCTGTAGCGCTTCCTCTGTAACTGTAGCCCTGGCTCCCTCCCCTCTTCCCTCCCATCCCATCTGCACACCAGCTCTTCTCTGCAGAAATTTGCATCATGGGCTTGTAGGGAAGGCTTCACTGAGCCATGGTCTGTTCAGCTGCCCCACTGCTGCTCCTGGCCACGACTCTTCCCCTGGTGGGGTCACCAGTTGTCCAAGCATCCCAACCCGTAAGTGAGACTGGGGTGAGACCCACGAAAGGTCTGCAGAGGTGACAGTGGGGACCTCCGGTTGGGAGAGACAAGGCATGGAATGAAAGGTTAGATAGCAGGGAAGGGCGGAGGGGAGAGGAGGTGGTGTGTAAGGAAAGTGCCTGCTTTGTCATGCGGTCTCTGAGAACTCAGTCTTGTTCTCCTGGGTGTGGGGGATAGTTTCTGTTTCCTTATCTGAGTCCCTGTAAACTTCCATGACACCTGCTGCACTTGGGATAAAGCCTTGTCCAGTCAAGCTGGCCATTCGAAAAGAAAAAGAAAAGCTTTGTAGATTTGGGAACTATTGGCATAGAGGATGGGAGAGAATCTGAGGAAAGGCATCAGAGTCTATACGGTGCTTTTCTATCTGCGCTCTCTCCAGTAGATAGCTGTATCTATGCCTGTGTCTGTATTTATATATCACTAAGCCGAAATCTATCTATACTACTAAATCTCTATCTTCATGTAAATATATATCTGTATGTGTATCTAAATCTGTCTACATCTATACCTTGTTTTAGACATGCCCTCACCATGTTGCCCGGGCTGGACTTGAACTCCTGGGCTCAAGTGATCCTCCCACCTCAGGCTCCCAAGTAGCCAGGGCTAAAGGCACATGCCACTGTGACCAGCTTATATTCATATCTTAACCATATTCTTATCTATATCAATATCTGGTATTGGATAGATAGCCACACGCACAGGCAGGTGCAAATGGACAGAGCTCAGGTCTGTGGCACTGGGAGCCCCTCCAGATTTCCTGGAGGAAGGACTGCCTGGTTCTCTCTCCTTGGCCCAGCTCCTTCCTCACCACCCTACCAGACAGACCCTTCCCTGCCTGCCCCATCCCCCTATCTTCTAGCTTTGGCCCATGGCCCAAGAGACAGACATTGTGGGCCCAGACCTCCACCCTCACCCTGACAGAGGAAGAGTTGGTGAGGAAATAATGTACAGGAACCAAAGACTAAGGAAAGAGGCTGCTCCTCCTGCTGTCAAATCCTACAGAAGGAATAAGCTCCCCAAGCGCCTGGGCCCCAGCTCTGTCCAGCCCCACTGCTGGAGCTCCAGAGCCAGGCATTTCAATTAGCCTAGAGGCCCAGGGACAGGTAAACTCAGGGAGGAATTAAACAAAGCATGTTGACTTCCTAGGGCGTGCCTGGTTCCTGGTCTTGTGTGGGATCTGTGGGCTCTAACACGGTTCCTGGGGTTGCACCTCTGGCATCCCCTAGCGGAAGCGGGCTGTCGAGACTGAGTCATGCTGGCTGAGACTAGCCAGGCTGGCCCCTGAGGTGTCTTTGGAAGGGACTTGAGGTCTTTCCTGTGTTCTGTTCCAGGGACAGAGTCAGGCTGGAGGGGAATCTGGATCGGGGCCGCTCCTGGACCAAGAGAGTGAAGCAGAGGGTGAGTGGATGAACAGGAGGAGGCGGGAGGTGGAGGAGACAGGAGCAGGGAATGAGGTGGGAACCCAGGATCCACAGAGGAGAGGGCGGACGAAGCGAGGGAGTGGTGGCGGAGAGCAAGGACTGGCTCTGATCACAGGCGGACAGGTCGGTGACCAGTTCTCTAGCGGTGAGGCCTGGAGATGAACTCATGTGTCTTTGGAGCCGCATCCATAAAATAGAGGTTGCTGGGCGGAAGGCGTGAAGCCATGTATCTGAAGGCACTGTGCCTAAGGGAGGAGTTCCCTTCCTGAGTCCTGCCTCTGTGCACCTGAACAGGATGTGGGAGGGGTTCTGTCCTGCGTTCCTGGGACTAGCCAATGAGGTGAGAGAATCCAGAAGGCTTGTGGCCTCACTGCCTGTCCTGGCCAGCTGTCCCCTCTGCTCCTGTAGAATCAGTGCTGGTCTCCGTCTATGTACATCTGGACTTTTCAGATAAGACCTGGCCCCCTGCGGTCTCCAGGACCCTGGCTCTCCCTGCTGCCTCGGCTTCCTCTGCTCCAGGGCCTCTTCTCACTGGCCTCAGACTCACAACAGGTACCGCTCGTGTGGGAAGGGGGCTGAGAGTAAATGAACATGGGCTCCCGGGCCTCCTGCAGCCAGCTTGCCTGAGACTCTGGGAGCCCCTCTGTATTTCCTGGAGGAAGGACTGCCTGGTTCTCTCTCCATGGCCCAGCTCCTTCCTCACCTCCCTACCAGACAGATCCTTCCCTACCTGCCCCATGCCCCATCTTCTAACTTTGGCTGATGGCCCAAGGAACAGACAATAGGACACAGACCTCCACCTTCAGCCTATTCCCTGGCCTCGTGTGACCTCTGCTGCTTCAAGTCCTGACTGAGGGGTCAGTCCTGATGCATGGGCCTGACTGAGGCACCCAGAGCTTGGGGATTGGGCCAGACACCCAGCCCTAAAGCCTCTCAGGCACCAGGCAGGTATTGACCCTGCCCGCCTAGCTTCCTCAGACAGCCTGCCCACTCCCTCTTCCCTTCTCTCTGTCACAGAGTGTCATGTCAACCACGAGGGGTATTTCTATTGCACTTGCCTCTCTGGGTACCAGTGGAACACCAGCATCTGCCTCCATCACTCTCCCTGTCAAAGCTCCCACAACCACCAGCCCTGTGGCTGCCTCATCTTCAGCCATCCCGAACCCGGGTACTGCCAGCTGCTGCCACCTGGTGAGGAAGGTTGGGAACTTGGAAACCATTGGCCTTAAGTGAAAAAAACGCTCTTAATGGTTTCTTCCTCTCTGAACCTGTAGTTTGGTCAGCTGGCCCAAGCCCAGCTGCTCCTCTGGGTAGGAGAAAAAGCCAGCCATCATAGCAGATCACAGGTCCTGAGCTTGGAACCTGAGTAGAGAGACTAATGACGGGGGTCCAGAGACACAAGGACAGAAAGAGAAAATGCTAGAGTAACCCTGCTTTTTTTTTTTTTTTTTTTTTTTTTGAGATGGAATCTCGCACTTGTTGCCCAGCTGGAATGCAATGGCATGATCTTGGCTCGCTGTAACCTCCACCTCCCGGGTTCAAGCAACTCTCCTGCCTCGACCTCCCGAATAGCTGGGATTACAGGCACCTGCCACCATGCCTGGCGAATTTTTGTATTTTTAGTAGAGACGGAGTTTCACCATGTTGGCCAGACTAGTTTCAAACTGCTGACCTCAGGTGATCCACCCACCTCAGCCTCCCAAAGTGCTGGGATTGCAGGCGTGAGCCACCACTCCCAGCCATGACCCTGCTTTTTACCTAAGGAGGCAGGAAGCAGCTCCAGCAGCCCCAAGATACCTGGGGGAGGTAGAGATAATAGACCGGAAAGGTTCTCGCTTTGCTTTCCAATAGCAGATAGAGTCTTCCAGGCTGGATTGCAGCAGGCCACATTCAGATGCCCAACCAGGGACAAAAAGAAAAATAAAAAAAAGTTAGGGAGGGAGTATGGAGGAATGGGCTCCAGAGTCAGGGGAGGAGCAATTGCTCAGCTGCATCTGAGCGCCATGAGTCCCACCTCCAGGGGTCCCCTGTCACTTGCCTCCCTACAGTCCCCGGGATCCTGAGCCTGAACTCCCAGCTGCAGATGCCTGGTGACACGCTGAGCCTGACTCTCCTTCTGAGCCAGGAGGCCACCAACCTGAGCTGGTTCCTGAGGCACCCAAGGAGCTCCAGCCCCATCCTCCTGCAGCCAGGGACACAGGTGTCTGTGACTTCCAGCCAGGGCCAGGCTGCCCTCAGCATCGCAAACATGTCCCGTCACTGGGCAGGTAGCCAGCCTGGCTTCCCCTCCTTGCCTCCCTTCTCTTTCTTCTTGTTTCCCTTCTTCCTCCTCCTCTTCCTCCCGAGTCTTCTTCCCTTCCCCTTCCTTCTTTTCTTTCTGCCTCTTCCTTACCCTTTTCATCTTTCCATTTGCCATTCTGGGGAAACAAAGGCTAAGAGATCCCTTGGTGTAGAAAACTGCAATGTGTCAAGTTCTAAAAGTGGCCAACTTTTTCACTGTGACCGGGGACTTCTGAGACTGTTTTCAGGGTTCACAAAGTCACAACTACTGTCCTAATATCCTAAGATGTCATCTGCCCCTTTCACTGCCACTCCCTCGGGGGTAAACAGGGCCCTTTCCAGAGGCTACACAGCTATCATGAGATTGAATGCAAAAACAGACGGGAGAACCCAGTCAGGGGCCAGCTTTGCAAACATGTAAAACAAAGTCACTTGCCTAATTATGTTTTGGAAAATGTAGTTATTTTTCATAAAAATGCCTCTGTTAACAAAAATACTAGAATGTGGAGACTATGGTCTCCATTTCTGCTGAGAGCAGATCCATGTTTTTCAAGATGCTAAACTGGCAGAGGTGGTGCAGGAAGGCATCTGCTCTGCGGAGAGGGGTTCATTTTGGAATTCATGGGCTTGTGCTGATAAACAAGAGATCTTGGCCGGGCGCCGTGGCTCACGCCTGTAATCCCAGCACTTTGGGAGGCCGAGGTGGGCAGATCATGAGGTTAAGAGATCGAGACCATCCTGGCCAACGTGGTGAAACCCTGTCTCGGCTAAAAAATACAAAAGTTAGCTGGGCATGGTGGTACGTGCCTGTAGTCCCAGCTACTCGGGAGGCTGAGGCAGGAGAATTGCTTGAACCCAGAAGGTGGAGGTTGCAGTGAGCTGAGATAATGCCACTGCACTCCAGCCTGGCACCTGGCAACAGAGCAAAACTCCGTCTCAAAAAATAAATAAATACAAAATAAAGAGATCTCTTTTAGAAATCTTCTACTTCCTAGAAATCCTTCTCGGGGACAGGGAATGTCCACCAAAGGGGCCATCCTGGTATCTTTCTTGCTGGTTTTAAGCACTGGGTGTCAGGCAGAGGACAGGAGCGAGGCTGTGGTGTGGAAAGCAGCAGATTCTGTGGTGCAGGGGGGCCCAGAGGAGCCCCAGTGTGCAGCCGACGCGTGTCTGCAGGTGAGTACATGAGCTGCTTCGAGGCCCAGGGCTTCAGGTGGAGCCTGCACAAGGTGGTGAAGGTGCCCTTGAAGGCGACAGATGTGGCTCGACTTCCAGACCGGCTGTCCATCTCCTGTCCCTCCCCTGGCTTCCAGCTGAGCTGTTGCATCCCCAGCACAAACCTGATCTACACTGCGGCCTGGAGCCCTGGAGAAGGCAGCAGAGGTATGAGAAAGGGACAGCAGTCAGGGGTCAGAGCAACCAGGGGGCAGCTAGTCTCTTCCAGGCAGCTGGGCCTTCAGCTCATGAGAAACAGACCACAGTTCGACCAGAGAATGTGGCCCAAGGCCATTTCCGACCCCATCAGAGCCATTCCATGTCTATTTCCGTCACATAACCACACGCACAGAGAAAACTTTCCGCAAAATGCTGTCATCTATACAACCTCATTTAACTCTCTACGGAATTAGTTTGATGATAGTGCCCATTTTACAAATGAGGAAATGGTAGAAACTGAGTCCTAGAGCTTGTTAGAGACCCCCGTCCCCTCCAGCAAAATCCAAGCTCTCTCCCACTGTCCAAGTGGGGCCCACTCAACATTTGGCTCTTCCCCACTGCTTCCCCTGTTTCTGAACTGCTAAAAAGACTGAAACAGCATGTCGGAGCCTGCTGGGTTCCAGGCCTGTCCCTGGCCCAGCGACAGTTCCCTTCTCTCGTTTTGCCCTCAGCCTTCTCCTTCAACGCGTCAGGCTCTGCGTGCTTTATGCTGGCAGTTCAGCGCTGCCCGGCAGCCAACACCATGTATACTTGTGACCTGCAGAGCCCAGGCCTGGCTCCACTCAGGGTCCCCATCTCCATCACCATCATCCAGGGTGCGTAGGGCTTGGGGTCCAGTGGGCCGGTCCCAGCTGCTTGCCTTGGGAGCAGGGCTCTCTTGCATGGCACGTCCCTGTCCTGGGCAACAGAACTGGGCTCCGGAGCCCGCACAGGCTCCTGCCCAAGGAGAGGCTGGGGTGAGGCTGTGATTGCTGAATACCCCCTGCTCATCATTCTTCAGATGGTGACATCACCTGTCCTGAGGACTCCACGGTGCTTACCTGGAATGTCACCAAAGCTGGTCACGTGGCACAGGCACCATGTCCTGAGGGCAAGAGGGGCACAGTGAGGCGGCTCTGCAGGCCTGATGGAGTCTGGGGGCCCATTAACAGCAGCTGCACAGATATGAGGCTCCTGGCCTTGTTCACTAGCGCCAAGGTGAAGTCTCTGTCCTGCTGCCCACATGCTCCCTCCACGGCCCACCTCGGCCTCTCTAGGACCTAGCTTGCAGATCCTTTCCCCCTGAGGCCCAGCCCACAGGCTGGCTATTCAGCTTCTCTGAGCTGGAGCCAAGCAGAGCCAGGATGTGGGTGTGGGAGGGCCCGAGGGGGCCAGCAATCTCCATGGGGCTGGGATGCCCTTCTCAAACCATAATTCCACCATGTGTCCCGCTTCCTGCTGTCTCGTCTATCTCAGCTGCTGCAGGCAGGCCAGGGCAGGCCTGCTGAGGAGGTGCCACAGATCTTGGCACAGCTGCCAGGGCAGGCGGCAGAGGCAAGTTCACCCTCCGACTTACTGATCCTGCTGAGCACCATGAAATACCTAGCCAACGTGGTGGCAAAGGCCAGAATACAGCTTGACCGCAGTGCCCTGAAGGTGAGATCTCTGAGCCACAGTGGGGGCCAGCTGGGCAGTGGAGGTGGGGGGAGGCTCCTCACTTGTGGGCACTTCTGTCCCTCTGACATCACTATGGCCTGTTGGGCAGCCGAGCCCTCCAGAGTCCAGGGGTCTGCTCCTGGTCCATTTCTCCTCTTGGACAGCGGTCTCCAAGGCTGCGGATTGGAAAAGGCCTGGCTCTGGGAGCTCATGGGGGCTGGAAGGCAGGAAAGAGTGTAGAGACATGAGGCCTGAGGCGTGTGTGCACAGGCAGGCGTGCGGCTATGACACAGACAGGAAGTTTCCATGGAGACGCCGAAGTGTGCTTGGTGTGGCCGGGCTCACCTAAAACGGCTCTCAGTATGAGCGTCCATTGGTGACCCACAAGCTGCAGCCAAAAGTGTAACAAAGTGGTCACACTTGGGAATACACAGCATCTGTGAATGCACAGACATGTTTGTGGCCCTCACCTCCAGGACACAGTGCCCTCTACCACGGTCACCATTCCTAGCTTTGCGGACCTGGAGGGGCCAAAGAATAGGAGAAGTCCCCTCTTAGAACTTGGGTGGCCCCAAGGGATGGAGGGGGAAGAATGGTTTTCAGCAGAGGGGCTGGGTACAGTCAGGGGACAGATCCTTAAAGATGCCCCCAGGTGTTTGGGCCATCCCATCAGGAAAGTCTCCCTGGACAGGCCTGTCTTCCTCTCCCTTTTCTCTCCAGCCTCGGGTGGTACACTGGACTGGGAAGGGAAGCTTTGGGGTCTGTAGTTCCCATTGCCCCGGCTTAGTCCTGTGGGCGCCAGCAGACGGGGCTCATCTTTCTGTTGGGTGCCGCAGAATCTCCTGATTACCACAGACAAGGTCCTAGACATGGATACAGGTTCTCTGTGGACCCTGGCCCAAGCCCGGAAGCCCTGGGCGGGCTCGACTCTCCTCCTGGCGGTGGAGACCCTGGTGTGCAGCCTGCGCCCGCAGGACCAGCCCTTCGCCTTCAGCTTGCCCAATGTGCTGCTGCAGAGCCAGCTGTTCGGACCCGCGTTTCCTGCTGACTACAGCGTCTCCTTCTCTACTCGGCCTCCGCTGCAGGCACAGATTCCCGGGCACTCCCTGGCCCCACTGGTCCATAATGGAACCGAAATAAGTATTACTAGCCTGGTGCTGCAAAAACTGGACCGCCTTCTGCCCTCAAACTATGGACGAGGGCTGGGGGGTTCCCTCTATGCCACTCCCGGCCTGGTGCTTGTTATTTCCATCACGGCAGGCGGCCGGGCCTCCAGCCAGGGAGAGGTCATCATGGACTTTGGGAACATGGATGGGTCCCCTCACTGTGTCTTCTGGGATCACAGTCTCTTGCAGGGCAAGGGGGGTTGGTCCAAAGAAGGGTGCCAGGCACAGGCGGCCAGTGCCAACCCCAGCACTCGGTGCCTCTGCCAGCACCTCACTGCCTTCTCCCTCCTCATGTCCCCATACGCTGCTCCGGAAGAACCTGCCCTGGCGCTGCTGACTCAGGTGGGCCTGGGGGCTTCCATCCTGGCGCTGCTCGTGTGCCTGGGTGTGTACCGGCTGGTGTGGAGAGTCGTGGTGCGGAACAAAGTCGCCTACTTCCGCCACGCCGCCCTGCTCAACATGGTGCTCTGCTTGCTGGCTGCTGACACCTGCTTCCTGGGCTCCCCCCTGCTCCCTCCCGGGCCCCGCAGCCCGCTCTGCCTTGCTGCTGCCTTCCTCTGTCATTTCCTCTACCTGGCCACCTTTTTCTGGATGCTGGCGCAGGCCCTGGTGTTGGCCCACCAGCTGCTCTTTGTCTTCCACCAGCTGCCCAAGCACCGAGTTCTCCCACTGATGGTGCTCCTGGGCTACCTGTGCCCACTGGGGTTTGCGGGTGTCACCCTGGGGCTCTACCTCCCTCAAGGGCAGTACCTGAGGGAGGGGGAATGCTGGCTGGATGGGAAGGGAGGAGCGTTCTACACCTTCGTGGGGCCAGTGCTGGCCATCGTAGGCGTGAATGGGCTGGTACTAGCCATGGCCTTGCTGAAGTTGCTGAGACCTTCGCTGTCAGAGGGACCCCCGGCGGAGAAGCGCCAAGCTCTGCTGGGTGTGATCAAAGCCCTGCTCATTCTCACACCCATCTTTGGCCTCACCTGGGGGCTGGGCCTGGCCACTCTGTTAGAGGAAGTCTCCACGGTCCCTCATTACATCTTCACCATTCTCAACACTTTCCAGGTAGGTGACAGTGGGGTGGCTGTGCTTTTTGCCCTTTTAGATGGTCTAAGTCATGGCTGATCCCTTCTCTAGGAGGTACCAAGGTGGAGCAGAAGAAGCACAGGTTCAGGAATTTTAGAAAGCCTAGGTGTGGATCCCAGGTCCTCTGCTGACTAGCTGGGTAACTTTGGACAAATTACATAACCTCTCCGAGCTGTGGTTTTCTCACCTGTTAAACAATAGCTGATACTGTTGGAGAAATCAGGAAATTGTCAGTACCCGATTCTTTGGTATCTCTTTTCTAATCATAACAATAAGAAAAGCACCTGAAATGGTGGTAACAGGAAAATTGAGACGGGAATCCTTAGGATGTGAATTACACAGGGGGACAGAAGGAGCACACTGATTCGGGTGGATCCCTTCCTCCTTGACCAGCTTACCTCCATGTCCCTCTTCTCAGGGTGTCTTCATCCTATTGTTTGGTTGCCTCATGGACAGGAAGGTGAGTCTGCCCACCTAACCCACTGCCTCACTTGCAGCCCACAGGCCGGGGCAGCGGCTGGCATAAGCTCAGCATTTACCTCTCCCACAGGTACAAGAAGCTTTGCGCAAACGCTTCTGCGGCGCCCAAGCCCCCACCACCACCATCTCCCTGGTGAGTTCCTGGCTTCAGATCCTCAGCTCTCCTCTGAGAGCATGTCAGAAGGTGTCCCACGGCCTTCCCCGGAGGACATGGGCACAGCCAGAAGCTGAGAGAAGACTGGGGTTGGTTTTTAGAACGAGCAGGTTTCGGGTTCCAGCTCCCCACCGGTGGAGCTAGCAGCCTGGCCAGAGCTGTCAGAATCGGGTTCCTGGGTTCCTGATTATCACCGAGACTCCTGCTGACTCTCTTGCCTCTGGTTTTTCCATCTAAAAATCTGCCTCCAGTTAGCATTTGAGAGAAAAATGAGGGATCAGTACTCATAGGAGTTACCGTAGCTGAGAGCACAATTTCTAGGATTTCTGTAGCCCAGGCAAGAGTGCATTTGAGTAAGTAAAAATGGATACGACATCTTCAAGGGAGAGGTGACTATAATAATTGCCCTGTAACTGGGCCTTTCCACCCCCTCCTAGGCCACAAATGAAAGCTACACCTTGGAACACAGCAAAGGAAGAAGTGACACTGCCAGGTGAGAACTCAGCTCTCTCAGGGGCAGCCTGAGCAGGGTGGATTGAGGATGGTGTGGCAAAGGGCCTCCTGGCAAAGTTCTGGACAGAAGGCTTCTCTTTCCATACCCAGCCCACACCAAAGAGTAGGAAACAGGTTTTCAGGGTAGCCAGTGCTAGATGGGTGGGGACAGTGGAAATGTCGGAGAGCAGAAGGCATAGCACCTTCTCTTGCTTTCAAAGAAAGCTGGGGGAGCTTCAACACCACCAGTCCTTGACTCAGTTTCTCTGAAAATTCCTTTTCACATGATCACACTTTTAATTATCATGAGACTCTTGCCTCAAAGGGATTGCCATGGGTGGGCTTGGTATCCAGAGGGGAAGGGCAGCCTGCAGAAGCTGGACTCGGTATCCATTCACCAGCCCCAAGCTCTTTCACAGGAAGACAGATGCTTCAGCGTGAACCACACACAGAGCCATGTTCCTGCAAGGGAGTTGATGCTGTGTACTCTTCCCTCCTGCCGGAGCTCAGCCCTTGAAAAAGGCAGGCTTCTATTTCCCTTAGTCACACTTATTTATCTTACAGCTCACCCTTTCTCATTTTTAAGTATCCAGCAAGAATAGCAGGAAAAACTAGCTAAAGGTACCTAATAAATTAAGCCTGCCTTTGCTGCAGAAATAATCAACAGATAAGTGCAGAATAATTACAAGGAAACTTTCTCAATCAGTTTTAAACTACAACAACACATGTTTTGAATAGATTTGATGAAATTGGTTTGAATTGACCTCTTCAGTGATTTCTGATTATTTCTTTTTCAATAGTTATGAAGAAAGGACGATTTAATTGACAGGAACCTCTGATCTTCCAAACACTGGAGACGAAGGGCAGAATTTGCTTTGTCTCTTTTCCAGTTTAGGAAAAGATGAAGTTAATTGGTCCCTCTTTCTTTAACCTTTAAAAAAATCAATATAAAGTGTAAGTTTCATAACCATATCCATGTATAGAAACAGGCATTCATACGAGCATGTTGTAAGAATAGGTTATAAAAATTTAAAGTTTTTAATATGCATTTATATCAATTAGTGAAGTTTAATTGATATATAAAAATGAATACTAGCTATAAAGAAGATAGATTTAAGAAAATCTCTTTGAAGACACCAAGATATCTATCTGGCTGAATTAACTTATGGAATTCACAAGAGGAAGATGACAGGATTCTGTGAAATTTTTAAACCAGATAAATAAAAAAGTCTAATGAATCGGTCTTTGTTAACTATGCAATTCATGGATTTTTTTAATAAAATGGGACAGGACATTTTCTGTTAAAACAAAAATGGATTTGCTATTATATGCCATTGAAAATACTTTTCTTATAAACACAATGCCTTCACTTAATGCTTAGTGCGAATATTTTAATTGTGTATAAATTGGCCCAAATGTTTCTATAAGTGGATTCATTATACTTTCAGAGAGAAGCCAGCAACTCAGCAGGCCCATCATGGTGTTTCCATTCTTTTTGTTTGTTTGTTTGTTTGTTTGTTTTGTTTGTTTGTTTTGAGGCAGAGTCGTGCTCTGTCGCCAGACTGGAGTGTAGTAGTGCAATCTTGGCTCATTGCAACCTCCACCTCCCGGGTTCAAGTGATTCTCCTGCCTCAGCCTCCCAAGTAGCTGTGACTACAGGTGCATGCCACCACGCCCAGCTAATTTTTGTATTTTTAGTAGAGACGGGGTATCACCATGTTGGCCAGGATGGTCTCGATCTTTGACCTCATGATCTGCCCACCTCGACCTCCCAAAGTGCTGGGATTACAGGCATGAGCCACCGAGCCTGGCCCATCGTGGTGTTTCTAAGCCTCACACTCGCTCCAGCCCTGTAGGAGGCAGGTGGTGACTAAGACAGGGCAGGCTCTGCCTCAGCACAGACGTGTCTCATTTCCACTTCATTTCACTTTCACTTCATTGACAGTTACAGTTTTCATTTTATAAATTACAAAAATATCTCTTGGTTACAAATTCAAATAATATGCTTTCACTTTAGAAACATCAGGGGTCCCCTTTCTGAGTGCACTTCTGTGGATATATGTGCTCTAATTTTTCTTTGCAATTATTTGCCCATATTCAATGCATGCTTTGCTGGTAAAAATACTCAGAATTAGGCCGGGCATGGTGGCTCAGGGCTGTAATTCCAGCACTTTGGAAGGCCCAGGTGGGCAGATCACATGAGGTCAGGAGTTCAAGACCAGCCTGGCCAACATAGTGAAACCCTGTCTCCACTAAAAATACAAAAATTCAGCAGGTATGGTGGCATATGCCTGTAGTCCCAGCTACTTGGGACGCTGAAGCAGGAGAATTGCTTGAACCAGGGAGGTAGCAGTCACAGTGAGCCAAGATCACACCACTGCACTCCAACCTGGGCAACGGAGCAAGAGTCCATCTCAGAAAAAGAAAAAAAAAAAAAAAAAAAAAAGCCACACGCAGAATTGACAGATGGAATGACATTAAGCCCTTGTTTACTTGACTGTCACCAAAAAAAAAAAAAGACAGGACTGTAAAAGAAGGCTTTGGACACAAAGGTAAGAAAACTGACACTTGGCAGCAATTCAATCTCTAAAAAAATAGCTTTAAAAAAAAGTGGACCACGCACTGTGGCTGACGCCTGTAACTTCAGTGTTAACTCACGCCTGTAACTTTGGGAGTCTGAGATGGAAGGATCACTTGCGCCCAGGAGTTCAAGACCAGCCTGAGCAACACAGGGAGATCCTATCTCTACAAAATAAAAATAAAAAAAAAAAGCCAGGTATGGTGGCACATGCCTGTGTTCCAGCTACTCAGGAGGATGAGGTGGGAGGATCGCCTGAGCCAGAAGGATTGAGGCTGCAGTGAGCCGTGATCACACTACTGCATTCCAGCCTAGGCAAGAGTGATGCCTTGTCTCCAGAAAGAAAAAAGAAAAAGAGAAAAAAGGAAGGAGGGAAGGAGTGGACAAGTGAATAGATCATGTGCTCAAATGATGTGCATTCCAGTGTGTTTATGCCATAGAAAGGAACACCAAGTGGTCATTAAAAATGATGATGTACAGCTACACCTACTGACAGGGAAAAATATTTAGACTATATAGCTAAGTAAAACAGCAGCATTCCAGAATAGCATTATCCTCTGCAATTTCGGTCCATATGTAACCAAATGCAGGTGCAGATGCTTGCCGCTGGCAGAGTCCAGAAAGTGATTTTACTTCCCAAAACTAGTAAAGGGGACAGGCGCGGTGGCTCGTGTCTGTAATCCCAAAAGTTTGGCAGGCTGAGGCAGGTGGATAACCTGAGGTCAGGAGTTCAAGACCAGCCTGGCCAACATGGTGAAACCCCATCTCTACTAAAAAATACAAAAGTTAGCTGGGCGTGATGGCGGGCACCTGTAGTCCCAGCTACTCGGGAGGCTGAGGCAGGGAGAATGGCTTGAACCCAGGAGGCAGAGGTTGCTGTGAGCCGAGATTGCAGCACCGCACTCCAGGGTGGGTGACAAAGCGAGACTCTGTCTCAAAACCAACAAAACAAACAACAACAAAAAAACTAGTAAAGGGAACGCAGCCAGATTCCCGTCTAAAACAACCACTTCAATTTTTGAAGCGAAGGCAGGAGTTTAAAAGAGAAAACTGGATAAGCAAGGCATTCAAGAATTGTGGTAAGTACAATGTATGTGTGTCTTGTTCTGGTGTCTCTGTTGGGTCCCAGTCCACCTGGCGCGTGGGCAGGCGTCATCTCAACAGTGACCAGGTTGTTAACTAGCCGCCTTGAAGTCATCTCTGGCATTTTGCAGCTGGGTCTCCTGGCTTGGTCTGTCTCAAGATTAGTCCCTGGAACTTCTAGGAAGCACAATAATTGGAAACTAGTGAACAGTGAGATAAATGTGAGGGAGAATATACCGTGAGACAGGGAGGGACGTGGAGTCTAGTTTAAGGGCTGTCGTGGACCGTCCGGGATGGGTAGGCACGTCTGCCCGGGGTCTCTCGACCCGCAAGAGGGTCTCAATACCTGGAAGAGGGAGTGCGCCTGGAAAATTAATAAAGACAGAGAGAAAGCGAGGCGTCTGGAGGGCTGATAGGCTGTGCCTAAACAGCAAATTTTATCTTTCAAAGGCCAGGAATAAATACACTTTCTTGGCTCTGGTTTACGTCATAGCAAGAGGAAATGCAAATGTATGCCTCACATGGCCTATATGTCATATATGCAAGTCAGTGGTTGTAAAAAGTTACAGAATTTCCTGTAATCACAAAGCTTGTTTGCATCCAAACATTATTCACAAAGCTTGTTTACATCCAAACATTATTCACAAAGCTTGTTTACATCCAAACATTATTCCTCCTGGCTGCAGGTATCTCTGGTTTGACCTTGTTTTAGAACTGAGATGTGAAAAGGTTTTCTGGTTTTGCTCATCAGAATATCTCTTAATCAGATTCTCCTTTGTCTACTCCTGACTCAACTTAACTCAACTTCCCCATTCAGGAGTCTCTGAGTCAGAAATCAAAGCCATCCCTTATGGTGGCATTTGCTTTGCAAATATCGACAGTTAAACCATTATCTAGGGTACGAGGCAGTCGGGTAAGTAAGGTTTAAGGCTTATTCTTAAAGAGTCATAAAAAGGTTAAAAGCAGGAACCGGTTGCCGGCAGGGGGTCACTCGGTCTAGCAGCAACGCATAGTTTTGGGGTAATTCTATGTTTAATTTTTTTAGGAACTACCATGCTGTTTCTATAGCAGCTGCATCATTTTACATTCCTACGAACAACCCAAAAGAATTTTCATTCTGGTTGGGCGCGGTGGCTCATGCCTGTAATCCCAGCACTTTGGGAGGCTGAGGTGGATGGACCACCTGAGGTCAGGAGTTCGAAACCAGCCTGGTCAACATGGTGAAACCCCCTAAACATACAAAAAAATTAGCTGGGCATGGTGACACATGCCTGTAATGCCAGCTACTCGGGAGGCTGAGGTAGGAGAATTGCTGGAACCTGAAAGGTGGAGGTTGCAGTGAGCTGAGATCACACTATTCCATTCTAGCTTGGGCAACAAGAGTGAAACTCCATCTGAAAAAAAAAAAAAAGAATTTCCATTTCTGCACATCCTCACCAACGCTTGCTATTTTCTGTTCTTTTGCTAGTAACCGTACTAATGGATTGGTGGCTGTGAAGCGGTCTCTCGTGGTTTCGATTTACATCTCCCTCATGATTAGTAACAGTGAACATCTTTTCTGGGGCTTATTGGCCATCTGCTTTGGAGTTGAAGATATTCAAATTATTTCCCCATTTTTAAATGGGGGTTTTCTGGGTGTGAACTTTAGTTCTTTATATATTCTGAATATTAACCCGTTGTCAGAGACATGATTGACAAATATTTTCTCCCACTCCATAGGCTACCTTTTCATTGCACCCTTTGATGCAGCTTTTAATTTTGATGAAATCCAATTTAATCTATGTTTTCCCTTGTTGCCTATGCTCTTGGTATCATATCCAAGAA